CCCTAGTACCCCATGTTTGTCTCCCTACATGATGTCCAGGACAGAACATATCCACAGTACCCCATGTTTGTCTCCCTACATGATGTCCAGGACAGAACATATCCCCAGTACCCCATGTTTGTCTCCCTACATGATGTCCAGGACAGAACATATCCCTATAGTACCCCATGTTTGTCTCCCTACATGATGTCCAGGACAGACAAGTCCCCAGTACCCCATGTTTGTCTCCCTACATGATGTCCAGGACAGAACATATCCCCAGTACCCCATGTTTGTCTCCCTACATGATGTCCAGGACAGAAGATATCCCCAGTACCCCATGTTTGTCTCCCTTCAGGAATTCCAGGACAGACCAAGTCCCCAGTACCCCATGTTTGTCTCCCTACATGATGTCCAGGACAGAACATATCCCCAGTACCCTATGTTTGTCTCCCTACATGATGTCCAGGACAGACCAAGTCCCCAGTACCCCATGTTTGTCTCCCTACATGATGTCCAGGACAGAACAGATCCCCAGTACCCCATGTTTGTCTCCCTACATGATGTCCAGGACAGAACAGATCCCCAGTACCCCATGTTTGTCTCCCTACATGATGTCCAGGACAGAGAACATATCCCCAGTACCCCATGTTTGTCTCCCTACATGATGTCCAGGACAGAACAGATCCCCAGTACCCCATGTTTGTCTCCCTACATGATGTCCAGGACAGAACATACAGATCCCAGTACCCCATGTTTGTCTCCCTACATGATTCCAGGACAGAACATATCCACAGTACCCCATGTTTGTCTCCCTACATGATGTCCAGGACAGAACATATCCACAGTACCCCATGTTTGTCTCCCTACATGATGTCCAGGACAGAACAGTTCCCCAGTACCCCATGTTTGTCTCCTACATGATGTCCATCCAGGACAGAACAGATCCCCAGTACCCCATGTTTGTCTCCCTACATGATGTCCAGGACAGAACATATCCCCAGTACCCCATGTTTGTCTCCTACATGATGTCCAGGACAGAACAGATCCCAGTCCAGTTTGTCTCCCTACAGACCCAGGACAGAACAGATCCCCAGTACCCCATGTTTGTCTCTCCTACATGATGTCCAGGACAGAACAGATCCCCAGTACCCCATGTTTGTCTCTCCCATGATGTCCAGGACATGAATATCCCCAGTACCCCATGTTTGTCTCCCTACATGATGTCCAGGACAGAACAGATCCCCAGTACCCCATGTTTGTCTCCCTACATGATGTCCAGGACAGAACATATCCCCAGTACCCCATGTTTGTCTCCCTACATGATGTCCAGGACAGAACAGATCCCCAGTACCCCATGTTTGTCTCCCTACATGATGTCCAGGACAGAACAGATCCCCAGTACCCCATGTTTGTCTCCCATGATGTCAGGACAGAATGTCCAGATCCCCAGTACCCCATGTTTGTCTCCCTACAGATGTCCAGGACAGACCAATCCCCAGTACCCCATGTTTGTCTCCCTTCAGGAATTCCAGGACAGACCAAGTCCCCAGTACCCCATGTTTGTCTCCCTACATGATGTCCAGGACAGAACATATCCCCAGTACCCCATGTTTGTCTCCCTACATGATGTCCAGGACAGAACATATCCCCAGTACCCCATGTTTGTCTCCCTACATGATGTCCAGGACAGAACAGATCCCCAGTACCCCATGTTTGTCTCCCTACATGATGTCCAGGACAGAACATACATATCCCCAGTACCCCATGTTTGTCTCCCTACATGATGTCCAGGACAGAACATATCCCAGTACCCCATGTTTGTCTCCCTACATGATGTCCAGGACAGAACAGATCCCCAGTACCCCATGTTTGTCTCCCTTCAGGAATTCCAGGACAGACCAAGTCCCCAGTACCCCATGTTTGTCTCCCTACATGATGTCCAGGACAGAACATATCCCCAGTACCCCATGTTTGTCTCCCTACATGATGTCCAGGACAGAACAGATCCCCAGTACCCATGTTTGTCTCCCTACATGATGTCCAGGACAACATATCCCCAGTACCCCTATGTTTGACAGAACATATCCCCAGTACCCCATGTTTGTCTCCCTACATGATGTCCAGGACAGAACATATCCCCAGTACCCCATGTTTGTCTCCCTTCAGGAATTCCAGGACAGACCAAGTCCCCAGTACCCCATGTTTGTCTCCCTACATGATGTCCAGGACAGAACAAGTCCCCAGTACCCCATGTTTGTCTCCCTACAGGAATTCCAGGAAAGACCAAGTCCCCAGTACCCGATGTTTGTCTCCCTACATGATGTCCAGGACATAACAGATCCGCAGTACCCCGTGTCTGTCTCTTTGCAGTAATACTGGGAGAGACCAGGTACAGGATCTTTTTGTATCCAGAAATGTACCGTAACCAAAATCAGAATACAGAGAAACGTACCCTAGGACGAGTTCATTCTGCATTGTGCCGTTTATGAACGGAACTGCCATACTGTTGTATTAGATTCATCTTATTGTGTTATATAAGAAACAAGCATGCACAGTAACGAATATTTCGCGATGCACAATACCACTCGCAATCAGCTGAACGGGAACAACTACATACGGTTTCGGTTTTGGGTTGCGGAATATAGACATGTCCCCTGTTTGGAGTATCGGGTACGTTTGTGTATTTTGATTTTGTTTAGGGTATACTTCTGTATACAGAATTGGGGTACACATTTGTAGTGCCTGTGTCAAAAACGACCCTAGTCTGTGTCACAGTCCCTTAACCACATTATTTTCCCTACTGCCTAGCCCTGTCTGCAATGCTAAAGCCCTCAAGATTTCCCCAGGTTCAGAATCTCTGGTCTCCCTTGGGCTCCTTTTCAATATAAATGGGTTTATTTGTTACAATTAAAATTATATAGTCATAAACTTGCCACTTGCCAACTTGCATGGGCTTTCTTGGATATATTTGTTTCAGGGTCTGTATGACAGACTAATACATATCCAATACAATGAGATTGCATTCGTGAATAAAGAGTATAAAAAGACAAAGAAAAATTAAATATCGACATTGATGGATGTCCACTAATAGGTCTGTACAACACATATCACTCTGGTATGTTTTGAAGGCACTGGATGGTGTCTTCGACGGTGACTATGGCATCATATACGATCAGTGCACACCGTCACTGAGGTATTGTACACGCGCTTCCTTGAACTCACGACAGTATATATAAGAGCTCGTAAAATACCCATTATACCAAAGGTTGCTTTTGTGATATCACACACATAAACAAAATTACTTCAGGCTAAAGTTCTGTCTTTTTCTTTAGTTTCTTTGTGGTCGATCCTCGATCCTGGACCCGACAGTCTGTATTGCTACATGTACGAGTCGATTTCCAAGTTGAAACAACAAATTAATCAGAAACGTGTTCAAGAAAGATTTCGGTGTGAAACCAAACGAAAGAGAAATGTTACACAATTTTCAACTGTATTACCAATTCCACTAGGTTGACAAATCAATACTAATTAAGGCAAAGTAATTTGATAATACGATTCATTGGACTGCCTTTGAGAATCTGTTCTAAACCAGTATCCCACTGGGGGTGCTGCGTTCTAAAGATTATCGTCACATGATAGCAAGACGTGTTTGGATGTATTATAACTTGGGTTCGATATCAACAGGAATGCAACGCTTGGAGGAATTTGAAAATCAATATATTTGAGTAAAATTAATTTTATACACAATTAACCATCTTCAGATTACTTTTACAAACTGTTGCAGAAGTGAGTTATGGTTAAAACGACATAATCAAATTTAATAAAAAAAAAAAAAATTGATAACACGAAAGCAAATTCGGTAAGCTTTCCCTTGCCCCCATGTTTACTCAGGTTTATCAAAACTATACTCATGCCTGTGGGTTTCTCTAACATAGTAGACATCTATGACTTACATCACCTTGGTCCTCCCTCCTTCTTCAACCTAACAGGCGTGGTAAACCTGGAATGCTGCTCAAAGCAGAGTCAAAATTCATAATTTCTACAGAGCATACGTTAGTGCAGCAATTTAGGTTTGATTGTTGATTAACGCCGTATTCAGCAATATTCCAGCTATATGGGGGCGGTGGGGTAGCCTAATGGTTAAAGCGTTAGCTCGTCACGCTGAAGACCCGGGTTGGATTGCCCACATGCATTTGCGGATCCAGAAGGGAGGGGTACGCACCCCCACCCCACGTTTTGTCCTGAAAGTTTATTAAATGACCTTTGAAACTCGGGTGGAAATGAAATGTGCACCCTGCCTTTTCTCAATAGTATGCAACCCCCCTCCTTCTAAAAAGGCTGTATCCCCCCTGACATGGGTTCAATGTGTGAAGCCCATTTCTAGTGTGCCGCCGTCATATTGCTGGAGTATGGCTAAAAGCGGTGTATAACAATACTCACTCACTAACTCCAGCTATATGACGCCGGTCTGTGAATACTCGATTAAAGACACGTAAACCTAATGAAACCGATCTACGCAACTGGGAAGAGATGACATGCATCAACCAAGGCAGCGAGTCTGACCACCCGATCCTGTTAGTCAAATCTCGTGACAAACATGGCGGGGGTGCGGGGGTGTCCAATTCTATACAGGCTGTAACAAGTATTTAAACAATATCTGCCGATGTGGCTTTAAATTGTAACTTATCATAAAACCCTCAACGTGCGACTAATAATCAATATACATAAACAGTTTGCATTTTTATTGGGCCGTTTTAAAATCAGAAAAAGGAAGGAATTAATTATTTTTCCACTTTTCGCGTATAATTTTCGTGTGTGTAGATCAGAAAGTGAAGTAGGTATAATGGGGTTGTAGATTAATTATGTACAAAATTCGGATTGTATATGTTATGAATGCGCCCGCTGTTAGTCGAAACCATGTGCAAGAGAAGGATACCATCCGTCAAAACTCCCGCGTGACATTATCAGTCACTATACAGGCAGTCAACATATCAGGTCAATTGTCGGTGGTTAAGTGCCGTGTGCACAACGCTCCTGGATTAGTCGGCTCGGTGTTTCGTTTATCAGTTCTCATAGCTGTATCAACAACACTCGCATCACCATGTCCTTGAACGAAGTGGCCTGTCGGGAGATCGACGCGAACTCTGCAGATCTGAACACTCTTAGTCAAGAAATCTGGAAACACCCTGAACTTGCGTTTGAGGAAACCTTCGCACATGACTACATCACGGGTTATCTCGAGAAATGCGGGTTTGACGTCCAGCGGAGGTATAAACTCCCGACAGCGTTCCGAGCAGTGTACGGAGAGAGTGGCCCCGGTCCTAACGTGGCTGTCATCTGTGAGTATGACGCTCTCCCGGGGATCGGTCATGCGTGCGGCCATAACCTCATAGCTGAAGTGGGCGTGGCAGCGGGACTTGGCATAAAGGCTGCCATTCAGGCCGCGGGAAAACCCATTGGAAAGGTATGGTTGGTTGGTTTGTTGTTTAACGCCACATTCAACGCCGCAATAGGTCGACTATATGCAATAATACTACTACAAATAGTAACAGGGCCTACTGAAAATTTATATAGCGCTAAATCCAACCACTAAGTGGGTGCTCAAAGCGCTACAAAATAATAATAATGTTTGAGTAGAGTCAGAGACCATATAATAGAGGGACGGCCCTCCCCAACAGTTTATCATTAACCATCAGCGCTACGGTCTGGCATGCAACTGATACACATCGACACCCTGCTGCTAACTTCCCTCTAACGGTACACATGCGCAACAGATGCGCAGACATTCGCAAATGAGCACTCTGGTATCCACGTAAACAATATTGCGTAATATCCGGGCCGAGAGTAATTCTCTTAGCGGGATTACACTGGCTGCGTTTGACAGTTAAACATTACATGGACAGCTCCAATAAACTGATTACGGAGACACCCCCTCGCAGACACCCCCTCGTCTTGGTATCTGCGAGTTTCATTCTCAATTGAAATGTTCAGTACACGGCGCAAATATGGGTTTTACGCCAAAAAGCATAAAAAATAAAATACTGATCGTAGCCATATAAATTTGGTACGAAGCAAAAGAGGAAATCGCCGTGAATGTTGACATATTATTTTAAAAATGCTAGTAGTAAACTATTCTTGTGAAAGCGTGCGAAAATCAAGTGTTGTGGAGTAAATATTTCGGAAAACATCATATTTCGTCGCATTGCAGGAGTCAAAATAAGGAATTACGCGACCGCCACAGACTTATAAATGCCACTAAACCAATCTTTATCTTATCTGCTTTTATTAGACCCCGGTAACTAAGGATTTGTATTGAGAATTAGTAGCCGTTATTGAAAATCAAAATCGGGACTTTCGCAGATTTTACACCTCCGCCATTGTTCTCACAGAACAACGAGCACACATGACAGTATTCATCAAATACAAAGACAAATATATATGCTTTAGCACCCCTAATAAACTTCAGATGCATTGTTGCGAGTTAAGTATATACATGAGAATAAATGAAAAATATTACCTTTGCAATGAAAATACGCGAAATCGATGACTGAAGTGAACACACGTTTTCGCCAGCTTCCGGATAGGCTGCGCAGTACAACCCGTGGCGCTGATGGTTTTGCGCATTGGCTCGAGGATCGTCCCTCTATTATATGGTGTCTGGTAGAGTTAATAGGCAGTGAAAAGAGATGCGTTTTGAGATGTGATTTGAAGAAAGATGGGGGCAGTTTTAAGGCGAGGGGCAGTTCATTCCACAGCGATGGAGCACAAACACTGAAAGAAAGCTTTCCATAAGAGGCCAGTCTATAAGAAGGAGTTTTCAATAAGAATTTTCTTTCAGATCGCAGTTGTCTGGATGATTTGTAGGGGTTAGCATTTCACTTAGATATTCTTTTGACATGACTTTTAGACTCTTGAATGTGATACAGAGAACTTTAAACACTATCCTCGCCTCAGCTGGAAGCCAGTGTAATGATTTCAGTATCGGCGTATGTGAAAGTACTTTAGGGCACGTGAAACGACAAAATAGACACCAAGGGTTTTTACCCGGGGTGAGAAATTTATATCAGAGTTACCAATCACAAGTTTTAAGTTCTTGTCAGTTGACATCTGAAGCTGTTGCTTAGAGCCTACCAACATAATCTCAGTATTTCCATCGTCAAGTTTCAGTTTACTACATGTCATCCATGATTTTATCTCTGATGCACAAACACTTGTTTTCCGAAGGGATTCAGCAACTTGTGAAACTTCAAAACTACCCAGGACTTGAGTATCATCAGCATATGATTGGTGACCGAGATCATGCCATTTTATGATTCCACCAAGTTGATTCGTATATCACAAAGAGTAATGGACCCAGAACCGATCCCTGTGATACTCCACATTAAGATTGGCACAGCAAGATTGTTTGTCACCTATGATAACATGCTGGCTTCGGCTGTCAAGAGCCTGTCAATATGTCTGTTTTATGGATGCGGTCTGTAAATAATTGAGTCTGGATCAGACACTCTAGTGATCAACAGCATGAGCATTTAACTACGCAACTGTAATACGACGACATGTGTCAATCAAGTCAGCGAACGTGACCACCCGATTCCGTTGCTGAAGGGTTGCTGAAGACCAATTCTAACCCGGTTCCTCACGGGTCCCTCGAAAGAATGACCCACATGATTTAACTACAGCTAATACATTATCATCACACATAATTGTCAATATATGGAGGGTTAACATAATTACTAACTGCTTCTCAGCTGGACATTTGTATTCAATGTAATATGATCAAGTAATTAATTCCGAAAGGAACCTAGGTATACCATTCCACTGTTGATACTAGGAATATTTTACCTTTCCATGATACACATAACTGTTTCAGGAAATTGACAGACAGACAGATTTATTTCGTAGAGCGGCCATGAGGCCAAAAGTACAGTGACATTTTTACATCATGTGGAAATGTTAATTGTATATCTAGAGATATTTGATTATCCCTATCAAAAGTTCGAGTTGACCATTTCGAGCTTTGTTCATAAGGGTTTGTTTTATTCCAAGTTTTATCACGTAAGGAGGGCGTTAGTGAAAATATGCACGCACACGCTTTTGGAATATTCTCGCTCACGATGACAAACGTTATCAGGCTCGCTGACTTGGTTGACACATGCCCTGGGTTCCCAATTGCGTAGATCGATGTTTATGCTGTTGATCACTGAATTGTCGGGCCCAGACTGGATTATTTACAGACAAGCGCCGTATAGCTGGAATAATGATAATTATGATTCATTTATACAGCGCCTAGTATCCATTTGACTGGTTGCTCACTGAATCGTTATTTCGTCGGACAACCCAAGCTGCCAGGGATGCGCAGGAAGGTTAATATTCAAATGACTTATCTCACCGGTAACCCATTTTCTTCTGGGTGAGGTGGTGAGATGACATGGGGTTTAACGTCGTACTTGAGAATGTTCCGCTCATATGACGATGTGCATGCATGCGTGTGTATGTGTATGAGCGGCTGCTTGTACTAGCCCAGACTGAAGTTGGTTTTATAGTGCTAGCCCACTGAGATACCATGCCGCAGTGAAGCATGAATACCCCACTCGGACACATTATACTGACTGAGCCGACCAGTCCTTGTTGTACCCATTAATGCCGAGCGCCAGGCAGGGACCAACAAGTACCACATTTTAACGTCTTTTGGTATGACGCGGCCAGGGATCGAACCCGCTCTCCGGGCGGACGCTCTAACCACTACACCACGGAGGCGGTCTCTTCTGGGTGAATACAGGCAGTTTTGTATTCTCTTGTATACTCACTTGCCCTACTTGAGACCACATGTATCACACATGCTTCGTTGTGGGGCAGGACTGAAGTCCAAGAAACTCTCGGGAGTCAAGCTGCCAAACACGGTCACCCATCCAAGGACTGGACGCGCTGGACGTTGCTTAACTTGATTAACTTGATTCGTGACCTGAGCTCTCCGCACAGGACCACACACCACCACAACATGGGTGCGGTGTAAAACTAAACTCACTCACTCACTCACACTCACATCATATGTATTGTTTACCCTTGGTGAGACTTAAATCTATCTGGCAAATGTGCTTATTAGTTATATCATCGGCATTGACGCTTGTGTCTGCAGGTGACGGTATTGGGGACTCCGGCAGAGGAGTCAATGGGAGGGAAAATCGATCTGATCAACGCCGAAGCATTCAAAGATGTGGATGTGGCCATGATGGCTCACCCAACACCGGAGACGGCGGAATACATGCCAGCATTAGCAAGGCAAAAGTACTTATCGTGTTTGGTTCTGTTTTGCTTTTCAAGAGAATAAATTACAAATTGATATTTAAAGTTAGAATGTTTACATTGGGTCCCGTGACATTGTTTTGTCTGCATGCCAGTATTACGACTACTGGTATGACGGAGACGTTTACACGACCACAGGTGATTTTACGAAACGAGTGTCAGAATTAGTGTATTTTCCGAGTAAGAGACATACATTCGAGTGATTTTTTTTCTCTATTCAAAGATCGACATAGTGCTAAAATAATTGTAAAATTAATATTCATCATGATTCATTTAATGGAAAATGCGATTAATGTGACCAATTCAAAACCTGTTTTTCACCCCATCAAACTGTTTATTGGTTTCAGTCTCCCAGCTTAACCTTGGGATGTCCATTTTAGGAAATCCCCTTTTGGATGGTAACATAGTGCGTCCAGGACAAACGAAGCTGAAACCATTCTTGTAGTCATGAAAGTGTTCAGGAAATCCAGTTCTCAAGTTTACAGGGATGTTTAAACAATATCGTGGAATGGCGTAATAATTTTGATAATTTAATGTTTAAGTGGACCATCAAATGGTATGATGTCACTTATTTTGACAAAGGCAGGCCTACGTTACCTGGTGCTAAGTAGCTTCCTCGAAAAATTGCATTTCTGTCCCTGCCAATATTTTGTATTCCTTTTGAGTTTCCCTTTAGAGAAGTGCACCGATAACGACCGCCATTTTAGAAAACCAAAGTTGTCGAATAACGTCAATCTTCAACGTTTCTATCTTGACGTCATTCCGAACTGACGTGACAATAAGATTCGAAAAAGGTCAACAATGCCGCCAGGATGACGGAAACAATACACAGAAGTGCCTGAATTGATAATGGCACCAGGTCAATTACGATTTTTCTCACTTTTTCTAACCCCGTGGCTGTTTTTTTGATTCTGCATACGTTTTGTGTCAAACCAAGGTGCTTCATCAAGTTCCACGGTAAGGCTTCTCACGCTGCGGGGTTTCCCTGGGACGGCATCAACGCACTTGACGCCGCCGTCTTGTGCTACCAGAACATCTCCTGTCTCAGACAACAGATGAAACCTGACTGGAGAGTGCATGGTAAGTAAGTTAGGTCGGACCATAATTAAATGTAAAAGTTGTGAATTATAGAGTAAGACAGTCATGTTGACTCGGTTGAACAGTAGTAATGAGGGGGCGGTGGGGTAGCCTAGTGGTTAAAGCGTTGGCTCGTCACGCCGAGGACCCGGGTTCGAATCCCTACATGGGTACAATGTGTGAAGCCCATTTCTGGTGTTCTCCCGCCGTGATGTTGCTGGAATATTGCTAAAAGCGGCGTAAAACCAAACTCAGTCAGTCAGTCAGTCAGTAGTAATGAGAGGGCTATAGATTGTTGTGTGTAATTCAACATGTATTCCTAATTGTCTCGCTGAAAGTTTATATGCATTTTTCTTTAAGAAATTCAAAATATTATACACGTACAAGTTTGAAACCCTTTCTTAATTTACATGATGTGTTTTTTTTATTTGAAATATGTATGCAAAAGTCCGTTGACAACAATATGAAATCCATGACATTTTGAAAACGATTTTTCTCTTTAAAGCAATGCTGGAATGAATGTCTTGGCAAAAGAATATATCAGAATAAAACGGTCTTAACATTGTTATGTTGTGCCAGATATTTATTAAATGAGCAGTAGTTATTAAATGATGTTTTGACAAAATCATGATTGCCTTTTGTTTGAAACGAAGGCGTGATACACAACGGAGGAGTCAAGCCAAACATTATCCCTGAGTTGACGGAGATGGAGTTTAACTGCAGAGCTCCCACGGACAGTGAAGTGGCGGAGCTTGTCAAGAAGTTCTCAGCGTGCGTGGAGGCTGCTGCTACAGCTACAGGCTGCAAGGTGATGCTTCAACTAGTATAATAGTGAATGCAATGTACTATGTACAAACCACAAGACCCGTGAAAGTCCGGGATAGAATCTTGATCTTCAGTAACCCATGGTTGTCGTAAGAGGCGACTAACGGGATCGGGTGGTTAGGCTCGCTGACTTGGTTGACACATGTCATCGGTTCCCAATTGCATAGATCGATGCTCATGCTGTTGATCACTGGATTGTCTGGTCCAGACTCGATTATTTACAGACCGCCGCCATATAGCTGGAATAGTCCTTTAGTAAAACTAAACTCACTCACTCTTCCAAACCACAAGGTGGTGCCTCAAGTACACCTACAACTACAGTGAATGCAAGGTTAACATACTCTACGTTCTCCTACAGGCTGCAAGGTGATGCCTTAACTATACGTTGTTTAACAGTGAATGCAAGGTTTACTCACTTTGTAAGTTGTATGTTCTCTTTCAGGCTGCAAGGTGATACGTCAACTTCACGTAATGTACGGTTAATACACTATGTATGCTGTACGTTCTACTACAGGCTGCAATGTGATTCGTCATTTATACGTAGTGTAACAGTAAATGCAAAGTTTACTTACTATCTAAGTGTAACAGTGTGATGCCGTTCAACTGCATAGATGAGCCTCAACTATACGTAGACTAACAGTGAAAGCTAGGTTAACACACTATGTACATTGTACGTTCTACAGGCTGCAAGGTGATGCCTCAACTACTATACGTAAAGCTAGGTTAAGTGTAACGTTCTACAGTGAATGCTAGGTTAACACACTATGTACATTGTACGTTCTACAGGCTGCAAGGTGATGCCTCAACTATACGTAGACTAAGTGTAACGGTGAATGCTAGGTTAACACACTATGTACATTGTACGTTCTACAGGTTGCAAGGTGATGCCTCAACTATACGTAGACTAAGTGTAACGGTCAATGCGAGGTTAACACACTATGTACATTGTACGTTATCCAGGTTGCAAGGTGATGCCTCTACTATACGTAGTGTAACGGTGAATGCAAACTTAACACACAGTAACATGTAAGTTCTCTTACAGGCTGAATGGTATGCATGCAAACAGGTGGAACTGCCCTAAAGGTAAACGCAATCGGCACCAGCTGTTATCAACAAATGACATTAACGCCAGCGTCTCGCGTCAACGAATCAAGTGACGTTTTTTAATACAACGTGAGTAGATATCGCATCATCTAAGCCTACTTTTCCTGTGTTACAGGCAGACTATTACTTTCACCCAAAAGCATACGAAAGTCTCATCACCAACAACACCCTCGCGACATCCTACAGGGACCATGCCGAGTCCCTTGGCCTAGAGTTCTCGCCCAGTGAACGTGTGACAGGGAAGTACGTTGGTTCAACCGATATGGGTAACGTGTCTCACGTCGTGCCGAGCATCCATCCTATGTTCTTCGTCGGGAGGAAAAACTGCATCAACCACACAACAGAATTTACCGAGGCAGCAGGTATACATAATTATTAGTATCCCAACATTATTGGCCATCCCACACTGAGGGTCGGCAGCAAATCGCTCTATATAGTTGTTGTTTAAAGATAGTTAATGCAGCGCAGGAGCAGCCATTTGTGTTTTGGCTGCTTGCTCCCTAATGCTTTTGGAGATTTTATAAGAAAATGGGTGGTTTGACAATAGTCTTTATTGAAGGAAAAAGACCGATGCTAAAATCACAACAGTCGAGGGCTCCCCACGACTGTGGTGTCTGTCATACAGAACCTGAAACAAATATACCCATTGGAGCCTATGCAAGTCTAGAATGTGTGGCAAGTCTAGATTACCACAGTTTCTGAAGATGAAGAAAGTCTCTGGGCTCTTTTTATTGTATTTTATTAACATTATTTAGAAACTGTTTTCCCCTGTAAACTATGTTCATTTCAGAGACTAGTTGTTATTCTATGCGCTGTGTTGCCAACGCGTTGTTTTAGTGCGGGAAGGCCTTTACAACACACTCTGAAGTACTCCAAAAGAAACAAAGAAAAAATAACATAGAGAAATCAATTATGAAATAACCATTTATAAAAGTCCTTGCATACAAAATGCTGCGTAATACAATCACGTGTTTGTGCGATTCATATTTTATATGTCAGAGAATTACTAACCGAAACCGATCAAATGCCAACACCGGTTGACGTTCTGTATTTCAGGTTCGTCCGACGCCCAACCCTATACACTGAAAGTTAGCAAGGCGCTGGCTATGACGGGTGTAGACCTGCTCCTACAACCATCCTTGTTACAGAACGTTAAGCGCGATTTTCAAAGGGATCTCCAGTTGTCATAATAATACATACTTGATTCATACATTGGTTTTGTGAATATTTATACACACGCTGTCCTATATTGCATCTCATTTACAATGCACAGTTTAAATTACTTGATAGCAATAATTACTATTGTCTGTCACGTCTGGTAATCTGGTCACGTTAAGATAGCGTCAGGTTACGAGATCTGAACAATTTGGTGCGTTCACTATCCTAGACAGTCCTACTTAACTGTCCCGCTGACATTTCCGCCAATTCACTGCCTCAACACAGAATTAATTCCGCTACGAAAACAGATCAATAGATTCTGGTTGTATTGTATACTAGTCACACGTTGCTGAGGATGAAATCATAGATTCAACAGAAAAGTATGATGTGGGGTCAAATTTGGTTTAAATATCTAAGCTTATTGTAAGCATGGATCCTAGGTTTCAGTATGTCATTTCGTCTTGTGGATCCCATACCTGCTACTGACATGTGTTGTGTTATTGTCAATGACTTGTTCTATGATTTGCAAAATGGTTGACCGGTGCCATGAAAACCATTTTTATGGCTACTCGTGTATCAAGTGCATAAGGTTAGATTAAAGTGAGTGTCTGCCTAAGGAGGGTTCTACCTAATTATTTATCCAGTTTTAAATGGATACAATTTCAAATTATAAATCTACGTTTAAGTAAAGTTGTGAATTTTGTGTGATCCTTAGCAAAGTGTGAGTAGTATATGACAATGGTATTGAAAACTTTGCTCAACGAATATGACCTAATATTACCCAACGATGTTGTAGATGTTAGAGCACATGCCTGTTTGAAACATGTTCTAGCCTGGTAACTCCTGAGGACAAGATTCAGATTGTGTTTGCAGATGTCTTAGTATTTACGAAAGCAGAGATATATAAATTCTTTTGTGTCTCACCATTTACTTCAAGGAGTACAAATATAACTTTGATTGTATTTATAATATTGTATGCATCATGAGAATACAGTTCTGATTTTACTCGGCAAACGACATTTATTTTCACAATTAGGTGCGTTTTTAGCATCACAATTTTGTCGTTTCCTGTAAATCACAAATTATTGTGAATAAATTGTGTATTATATACGCGGCTGACAGGGAAAAATGAATGTGACTTGTTTTCATTGGTTTATAGAAACACGCGTTTTTGTGAAAGGTTCTAGGAAATTGTCACAAATAAAATACGAGATTTATTGTACTTTATATTGCATTGCATCATCACAATATCATACTGAGTCTATTTCTCAACATCTCAGGGATAGACATAGATTAATGTTGCAATATCTCCAACAATCTATCCCCAGCAATCCATCTCCAGCAATCAATCCCCAGCATTTATCACCAGTAATTTCTCGTTGAGTAATGTTTCTTTCTCAAAATCCTTAAGGCGAGCATGTGACGTGGGTACACTGAAACTGGTGCCTAAATTCAACAAAAACTATTTTTAGACACATATTCTTGCATTCCTACCGTGATCCGCCCAAAGCAAACCACATCTTTGTTTAGTAACTTAAAACATAAATCCACGTAATCGACATGTGACCCGCGAAGATCCAGGTTAGAACTGATCATCAGTATCCCATGCTTGTTGTAAGAGGCGACTAACGGGATCGGGTGGTCAGGCTCGCTGACTTGGTTGATACATGTCATCTGTTCCCAATTGCGTAGATCGATGCTCGTGCTGTTGATCACTGGATTGTCTGGACCAGACTCGATTATTTACAAACCGCCGCCATGTAGCCGGAATATTGCTGAGTTCGGCGTTAAACAACAAACAAACAAATAATTGACATCTGGCGCAGTACAACAGTTATGTTTGATGATGGAGGAAATCTACTGGTGGGACATTTCAGAGGATGACTCAGATATCTGCTGTTACGCAATTATTCATGGAACACAGATAATGTGAACTAACATCATTATACAAACTGGAGATTGCTATATCGTACATAAAACATGAATGATACTGTAACATCAGTCATGTACTGATGGTGGGGCATGTGGTAGGCGAGCTGTCTAAGGTGCCGCATCGATCCCAACTTGTGACCGGGTGTGAAAACCTTGGAGCTAACATTACTTTCAGTGTTGTCACAACCGTGTGTACTTAAATTAATCAACTCATCTGATGGTAGGTGACCAGATGGTGGTCACACGAACACGTGCAGACACTTAGTTGCGGGTATAGTAACGTGCAGTATCACTGGACAAAAATGTGTCCTAGTGCACCCAGCGGCAAATGGGTACCTTGTGAGGATGAGGCTGTGTCATAACTCGCTGCGCCTAACAGACTGCAAGAGTTGAATACACCCCAGGGAGTTGAGTTCGTTAAAAGAATGCCAGAAAAAAGACATCCGTTGATCACGGGAACACTCCAACTCCTTAAGCATGTACTAGTTGCGTGGATATGTGCGTTATATAAATATCCTATAAAAAAATATCTTATGATAATAATATCATTAATCAGTCACCTGGTGTTACAGGTATAGAAGACAGAAGTAAGAGGATGGACGTGATCAACAATAAGTTCACCAACATTTACCATCGATTCTAATATGCTAAACCCGATGGCTCAAATTAACCACCCATGTAAGGTAGAATAAATGATGTACATGTATATGTATTTCAGGCGTTGCCCAACACCTTGTTTGTCTGGTGGCATCAGAAAAACATTAACATAGTGAAGAATAGTATTTGAAAACAAATTGTCTGGTTATTTTATTCATTACATATTTACAGTTACTGTCGATTCACGATTCAAGTTATTTTTCTCTTCATAATATTTGTGTATATGTTTACGTCATTACAATGACGACAACGTAATCTGTCTCAAGACGTAACATCTGTGGAATGATGATCATGGTTTGTCGTGATCAACGCGGGTTCAACGATTACTAACGTCGAAGGTATTCAAGCTGTCTGTCTCCTTATTCCCCAGGCTAATTACTTTTCCAAACTACAGATAAGGGATGAGTTCAAATACATGCATTATGAGTTGTTTAGCAAAGATGACACTTTAAACAAACATGCATACCCAATGCAGACATCTCTGGGCCCTTTTGCAGCAAGAGAATGCTGCATTTGCGTCATCTGATACAGTTGTGAATACACTCGTAGGCTTTAAACGGCCATCGACTTCGACGGAGAACAAGTGATGGGCAACATACGACACATTGCCCATGTCTGCGGACCACATTGCTATGCCTTGAAACGTCTCCTGTGTAAGTTCTATCCCTAGGGCGTTAGTGGTGAAAGCCTTCGCCAGAGTCCTGGATGAAAGTCACACCTTTAAAGAAGGTAGGTATCTATTGTCTTAGATTCCATACAGCGTGACAAGTAAAGAGGAAAAGCCAAAGTGTCTCATGTCGTTTTTGTTCTCCTTGGTGAACCACATGATCACGGCTCGCTTGGATTGGAAATCACAAGTTTCGAATTTCTGGTAGAAAATGCGTATGGTGTGTAAGAGAATTTAATGCCGACACGGCTGTTTGCAGAAAGAAGATTTCAAGTACAGTGTACTGTTAGTGTAAAATAAGATTTGAATTTACCCCCAAAACAACAACAACAAAAACAACCAAAAACAAAAACAAAAACAAAAACCCCAAAACAAAAAAAAACAACAAAACTAAAAAAAAAAACCCTCCCCAAAAAATAATAAATAAACAAATATAAATAAAACAACAAAACAAAAAAAACAAACAATGAACAAAAAAAAAAAAACAAACAAACAACAAAACCAAAACAAAATAAAAAAACAAAACAAACCAAACAAACAAAAACACAAGACAAAAGCAATAAAAAAACCAACCCCTGAACAATTAAACAAGACAAATCAATAAAAACAAAACCAAAACAAAACAAACCAAAACAAGAAAAAAAACAAAACCCAAATCAATGCAAATAGAAACTGTGTTTTCCATTATCCGTCGACTTTGTTCTAACTTTAACAAACTTTGCTCCCGACCACCAGCATCCGGGGATAGACCCCCATACGTGCGATATTGCTGACTTCATGTGTGATGCTTGAAGAGGGGTTACGTTATCACCTTTGTTGCTGTTGCTTTTTGCGTACAGATGTGCGACTGACGATACTGCTTTTTCTCGTGTTTGGCCTTACATGTTATACAATTATAGACTGGTGATGAGGTCAATACCTGTTTTTATGGACCTGCGAAAAGCAAAATTGACCGAGGACGAAGTCCATATCGCTTTTCGCGGGTCCATAAAACAGGTATTGACCGAATTCACCAGTCCATAATTGTTTTATTATGTAATTACCGAAAAAAGCTCCTAAAAACAAAAACATGTTCATTTAGTCAAGAAAAGTCAATTTATTTTCACTACAAACCAATAACGTCATGTCAACAATACTGTGATATGTAAACAATAGAATGACGTCATAGCTTGACAAACAAAATCTATTTTTAGTAACTCAAGTCAATATGACTGGGTTGGAGTCTGTCACGTGACCGCCTCTAGACCACGTATCCGACACAATTGCGACCACGGGTAGTTTACCAAAGTATTTGACACCGTTTCACTGACATTCTGTGTACACATATATTGTCCCGATACCTTGACCTCATCTGACCTCCAACTGTTCAGCTGTACGATATCTGGAACACATTACCAGCCATTAAAGGTGTATGGTGCACCAATAGCAGTGCGCATGCGTATAGTTTAAACACTATAGGTGTCACTTTCACCCTACATATTTCGTATACACATGTTCATCCAGGGTGTTGAATTCCACCACATATGGTGAAACATCCGTTGAAAGGGTGTAATATAATGAAAATAGATAGGCGATATATAGATTTACGCCGATACTCAAAGCGTATTCTTTATTTATATGGCGGCGGTCTGTAAATAATCGAGTCTGTAAATATCCAGTGATCCACATGTGATTTTGCGCAATGTAATATAATTGTCAAAATAGATAGACGATATATAGACAGTGACGATTTCAAAGCGTTTTTATTATTACCAGAGAGGGTATCCAAATGTTAATGATATTGTTCAGGAGATAATTGTATTCAGCACGCAGTTGTTGTGAATTTTTGCGGTTTCATGTATTCCCTGAATTCCTTGCCTCCTTTAAAGTATTCAAGAGACGACAGCTGTCGTAATGATTATATCTCATATACATTATATTATTCAAAGTTGAAATGTTATACCGAACTGATATGTCCGACTTCAACTTAACATTGTTGTACTTACATAACGTCAATTCAGACCAATGACAACGGAGCGGCCAATCCAAATGTATGAGAAATTGTGGATTCCAAACAACGCGGAACGGGCACTCTTACCTCAAAAGAGCACAAGTAAGACACACGGAATCTATGCTTATACTTAAATTACAAGACCAGTGAAGATCCAGGTTAGAATTGGTCTTCAGTAACCCATGCTTCTCGTAAGATGCGACTAACGGGATGGCTTGGTCAGGCTCGCTAACGTAGTATCCCAAATGCGTAGATCGAAGCTCATGCTGTTGATATCAAGATTGTCTTGTTCAGATTCGATTATTTACAGACCGCCGTCATATAGCTGGAATATTGGAGTGCGGCGTTGAACAAACAAACAAACAAACAAACAAAACACAAACAAACAAACAAAACACATTTAATTACATGCGATAACACATGCATTCTGAAATATAGATAATCTTTTCCCCTTGCTTGTTTATTTTCTTGAAAATGATACTGTGTGGTCTCTCACCTTTAAATAACGTGGATACTCTCTGTTATAGTCACAGTAACGCTTCACAAATGTGGTCAGAGCCGTGTGCAGCGGGGAGAACAATAGCAATATTCAGCAACGTCAGTCAGCTATTTATCACCCAACTGCGATGTCAGGGAAAGATGTGGCTTGTCGGGAGATCGACGTTCACTCGTCAGATCTCAACACACTCAGTCAGGAAATCTGGAAACACCCAGAACTTTGTTACACAGAAACCTTTGCCCACGATTACCTGACCACATTTCTTGAGAAACATGGATTTGAGGTTGAGAGGAATTACATGCTTGATACAGCCTTCAGGGCAGTGTTTGGTAAAGATGGAACAGGTCCTCACGTGGCCATAATGTGTGAATATGATGCCCTGCCGGAGATCGGACACGCCTGTGGCCACAACCTGATAGCTGAAGTGGGCGTGGCAGCGGGTCTTGGTGTGAAGGCGGCGCTACAGGCAACAGGGACGGGAGGGAAGGTCAGTATGAACAGGAGAATTGTATGACCAGTGATTGAGTTAAAGTGTGCTTAATACTGTTCGTCACGGCGGCCGTTAAAACGTCGAGTCTGAACCGGGCAAATCATGTTTTTTCGACAATCTTTTGGCCTATATTTTACATATTGGGGGCATATGCCCTCACTTTAGCTTCCTATTGATGCAATAAAAGATTTATTATCCCTTACAACTTGCCTGGAATCGATAATTGAAACTTCGAGGCGAACAGCTTCCAAACAGAAACACTTGCCATATATGGAATGTCAACTATTGCTCCGTTGTCGATGTTTGCCGAACTGGTTTCAATCACAAATTCGGCGTAGGATAAAGAGCGCTGTAAGGGACATAACTCTATGGGGTTCGCTTGAAATAGTGTTCGGCCGGTAGAGGGCGCGAAAGTCGATTTAATGCGACGTTCGAACTTTTTAAATTAATATTGCAATCTTAAATACGTAAGTTTTGGGGGATAAATTAAATGGTAGCTTCCCTGAAGGCTGATAGTTAGTATTCTTGAGAGAAATCCATTATGTATTTTTAGAGAAATGTGGTGTGACATTGTGTGATAGGTTTTAATGACTATCGCATATTGATTTTTTGTTGTCCTCTTATGATGTGTCACGGAGCTGCACTCCTAAGAACAGGCTGTCTTCGTATTCCAATTGCGTAGATCGGTGCTCATGCTGTTGATCACTGGATGGTCTGGTCCGGTAGAGGGCACGAAAGTCGATTTAATGCAACGTCGCATTAATTCATTCGAACTTTTTAATTTAATATTTTAATCTAAATGCGTAATTTTTTGGTGATCGATTATTAGCTGGAATATTGCTGAGTGCGTCGTAACTCACTCAACTCACTCACTACTAACTGTCCAAGTGATCAACCCCAGAAAACACTTACAAGCCTCAAGAGGAGGAGAGGAACAATTTATATTAAATGATAACGTCTTTATGGCATTGGATGTGGCGTTTTGGTGACGTTTCGGTAATATCAAGTAACGGTGTTATCATCTCCACGGAACTGTCGCAGCCATTGTAATAAAGAAGCTGTCAATGAATATAACTTGTTCCTCTTCATGATTTCAACTTCCAAAATGCCACTTACAGAAACTGACAAGCGTCGCTCATTACCAAGCCATGAGCTAATATACATTTCATGTGCCATTCCTATTATTCGATACTGGTAAAGGCATCTCATTCATTATCACCCTTTCTATGAGGTATTCGAACCGTGCCTGAATAGCGTGAACGAGTTGAAATACATCCAGTCGAATATGTTTCTTGCACAAGGTACGGGGCGGTGGGGTAGCCTAATGGTTAAAGCGTTCGCTCGTCACGCTGAAGACCCGGGTTCGATTCCTCACATGGGCACAATGTGTTTAGCCCATTTATGGTGTCCCCCTCCATGATATTGCTGCAATATCGCTAAAAGTGGAGCAAAACCCAACTCACTCACTCATTTTACAGGTAACTGTTCTGGGCACGCCAGCAGAGGAAGGCGGAGGGGGCAAGGTTGATCTGATCCATGCCAACGCGTTTGAAGGTGTGGACGTGGCAATGATGGCTCATCCTGCTCCATTAACAGCTGTGGATGCATCTTATCTGTCGAGAGAGCAGTAAGTGCATGCTCATAACACTGAGTGTTCAAGTACTTTCTGAATCATTACTTATTGAATGTATGCCTGCGTTGACTTGTGAACTGTTAAAAAAACTCTGCGAGCTGCAGTGGTGATATTTTTGGCAATAAATGGATGAATAAGTTGGGTCTACTGCGACTTTGAAATCTTTACAATTACATCACATCATGTCATTTCCCAACAAGGATCAGGTATAATCAGTCACATCTGGTATTCGAATAAACGATCATCGGAACCTGGCGCGACCAAGGGACGCAACTCCATGCTAACTCTATGGCTTAGATGGCATTAGATCCACTTGTGTGTTCAGATATATATACAATTAGCACAATATTTAGTTATTGTTTGTGAGGAATTTTGAAGTGGCAAGAACAGTGTGTCTTTACGATGTCACACAGAGAAACAACACACACAAATACACACACACACATTCATACATACATGTATCATGTTATTCTACAGATATACAACAAACATTAGATTAAGAGAATCGACTCATTCGTTTGGAAACATACAAAATGTATTATAATAATGCGTTATAGTACTTGATTCAGAACATAGTGCAAAACATCAGACGAAACAATTTAAATATGTATTCCGATTGCTATTAGGTGATCAATGTCGTGTCTGTATATCAGCATGTTTATGTCTATATAGACACATATTTTCCGTCAGACAGGATACGATTACTGTGGCTGCTGTATATGTTAATTCTTTTGCGATCGTTTTCTGAGTGTTATTATGTCATGTATGTCAGTATGACACTTGCGTGCAGATGTTACAGCTGGTAGTAAGTGTATTCTTTAGCCACAAAATCAGCGTTTGAACTAGAGTAAATGATAGAGACACTCCATTGTCATAAGTCCACGGAGTGCCCATTGAAAGCTTTCGTGAGAGAAGCAAAACTGTTATTCTGATGCCTTTAATAGTTTCTATGACAGCTTCAGTAATGACCTTTCTTGCTGAAGGTGCAACATCAAGTTCCATGGCAAGGCGTCTCACGCTGCAGGGTTTCCCTGGAAGGGCATCAACGCCCTTGACGCCGCCGTCTTGTGCTACCAGAACATCTCCTGTCTCAGACAACAGATGAAACCTGACTGGAGAGTGCATGGTAAGGGTTCTATATTTACAATCAGCTAATTCCAAACATGACCGGAAAGACGAGATACTTATTCCGGTATGTGTGTGTGTATGCGCTCGTGTTTGCGCGTGTGTGTGTGTGATGTGTTTCATTCTGTAACAACAATACGACTGTATTAATTTACCTATGTCACGTTTACTTTTTCTTTTCTCTTTATAATTCACAGAATCTAGGGCGGATATTACTGCTGATGCAGTCAAACATTGCATTTAGCCTACAGCTATCAATAAATTGTCGTGCTGCACACTGAATATTCTTCACTGACCTTGTGTTTTAGGGATAATCAAGAATGGTGGAGCCAAGGCTAACATCATTCCAGAGCTGGCGGAACTCGAATACTACCTGCGGACACCTACCGACGAAGACATGGGAATTTTGAAGAATAAATTTATTCAGTGTATCATGGCGGCAGCAGCAGCAACCGGATGTAAGGTAGATTGTATAAGATGATGTCCATTATGGACTCGCCCAGTAACTTTATGGCATTCATCACATCTTAGTTGTTCAGTGTGAGCGACTTGGGCTTAATACACTCTTTGTCAACTGTGTTGAAGTCATACCAGGGCAGTTCAGCATATCAAATGCCAATGGAGACACACACTACCATGTAGTTCATTGTTATTAACTGGCACATCCGATGTGACCCGTGAAGATTCGGGTCAGAATTGGTCTTCAGTAACCCATGCTTGTTGTAAGAGGCGACTTATGGGATCGGGTGGTGAGGCTTGCTGATTTAGTGGACACCTGCCATCGTATCTCAGTTGCAAAGGTCGACGCCCATGACGGTGATCACACGATGGTCTGGTCCATACTCGGTTATTTACAGACCGCCGCAATATAGCTGGACTATTGCTGAGTGTGGCGTTAAACAACAAACAAAGAAAACATCTGATGTAAGAGACAGTTTATTTGGGCATGTGACAATCATCCGTAGGACATATCACCAAAAATTGTATATTTTGTTTCTGGTGAAGATTCGGGAGGGGTATTCATGGATGCCTCTTTAATTTTAAGGCGGAATACGACTTTGAGCCAAAGGCATATTCTAACGTCGTCACGAACAGATCTCTGGCGAAGTCATTCACCACTAACGCTAACACCCTAGGGATAGAACTTACCCCGAAGGAGAAGTATGCAGGCATGTCAATGGGGTCCACAGACATGGGCAATGTGTCGCATGTTGTACCCAGTATCCATCCCCTGTACTACGTGGGAGTCGACGGCTGTCTTAACCATACAAGAGAATTCACTACAGCATCGGGTGAGGCAGAAATAGGGAAAGGTGTAAACAAAAGATCCATGGTTTAGTTAATGAGCCTTGTCGCTTTCGCAATATTGGTATTCTAGATGAGGGTTGAGGGATATGTCAAATGGTCATAGCAAGGGTACAGTTCTCATTAGAGATCAATTTAGGAACAACACATGTTTTGATTTCACTGTCATTAAATCCTTGCATTTTTGGTCTTTTCTAGTAAGTAGGTGAGGTACAAATGATATCACTCTCAGACAATAGCCATGGGAATAAATTTTACACGACCAAGAGGTTGTGACAAAAGAAAGTTACATGTAAGGTAAATGCATAAATTATGGTTATAAAATAACACAATACAATAGCAAGACAAAACCTTAGACGCGAGAATATCTACGCATTTCATTATTGCTGTTTGCAATGGGTTATGTACCACCAGCAATGTGTAAAGAATATTGTGGTCGTTGGTTCGGAAACCTAGATTCCCCTTGGTATTGATCCTTGATTTGTTAGCCAAAGCGGATGTCATTTACAACATCTAAAGTGTCTGGAAAGGGTGTTACGATATTTTATCCTTCCTGAATACAGCAAAGTTAAATCCCGTACACAAGTAAAGATGCATTATTGTTAGACCTATAAAAAAATTAAGACATGTGTACATGTTGTTATACAATATAACCCTTTACAACAATTATATTGATTAAGAGCCGAATTACACCCTTCGAAACCAGATATGCGAAACCCAAATTTGAAAGTAAAGAGGATGTCCATTCATCGTACAATGGACTGCTCCGAAGTATAAGGAAGTTTTCCAGTCATCGTACAATGGACTGCTCCGAAGCATAAGGAAGTTCTTTCTTGATCTCTGATCAATGTTGGAACTTCTATGGCGTGTATTGCACGATCATTATAACCTCTATTTGGTTCCCCCCAAAACTTTAAATTTTCACGTACCAGGTTTTTAAATGTAGTATTTTTGTTCTTTTAAATTTCGGCTAAATTATCCTACAATCGCCAGTGGCTGAAGGGATGGTGTAAATCCAGCTAGGCTCCATGCAGGTAGCAAAAGTAATGTAAGTCCCCATGGTTCCTAGTATGGTGATCTACCTTCAGTTGTTGGTGATCTATAGCCTGTGTTTTATATTGTATTGTCTTCTTTAATTGGAATGTTTCAGCTTTGCTCGCTAGTTTTATATTATATCTGTGATTATTTAGTATTTGTACTGTCCATCGTCGACAGGTTTTAATCTTCAAAATGTTTTCACTTTTTATTGTATAAATTGTTTTCGTCACGATATGGCTGAGATATTGCCGATGTGACGTTAAATATTATTGATGTCAACTTCTTTATTGTGAATAACTAAATCTTGCTTTTCTTACAAACCAACCAACCAACCAGAAATGATACAATGCACCAATTTTATTTTTCTTAGTTAGAGCATTGCACAATAATGGTGACAACAGTGAAAGAGTTCCCTAGTAACATCTGTTGTGTTGGCTAAGGATGCAGCTCATAATCCCAGTGCATGCATTAGTATTATTTCCATAACCTAGATATATTCTGAAGCATACTGGCAATGTTCGTTGTGTGTTAGAGTTACTCTCTATCCACCGGATCGCCTCCGTGATGTAGTGGTTAGAGCATCCGCCCGGAGAGCGGAAGGTCGCGGGTTCGATCCCCGACCGTGTCATACCAAAAGACGTTAAAGTGTGGTACTTGTTGGTCCCTGCCTGGCACTCGGCATTAATGGGTACAACAAGGACTGGTCGGCTCGGAGTCAGTATAATGTGTCTGAGTGGGGTATTCCTGCTTCACTGCGGCATGGTATCTCAGTGGGCTAGCACTATAAAACCAGCTTCAGCCTTGGCTAGTACACACACATACACACGCATGCACGTCGTCATATGAGCGAAATATTCTCAAGCACGACGTTAAACCCAATTTCACCTCACCTCACCTCTATCCACCGCTGCTACCATGTAATGCAATTGAAATGCTATGAATTTATCTAATTTACAATAGGAATGCAATCATTGCTTCCAGGAGCTCCCGAAGCGCAACCCTTGACACTGGAAATCAGCAAAGCTCTCGCAATGACAGCTGTCGACGTTTACACATCGCCGGAGATGCTGACGGACATACAAACAGACTTCAGGTGTGACATAAAGGGCAGCTAAACATTCGTCTGTGGTCAGAATTGATAAGCAAACTGAATATACTGAGTATATACGTTTAAGGATAATTATTTAGTGCAAATGACTCTGGACCTTATAGTATATTTTCCTCATCAATACGTATTAATATAACCAGACATGAATGATGAAGCGTGGGTGATAGTAAAAAGATCACTTCAATATTGCGATGAATAGAATATAGGATGGTATTATTAACACGGTAAAACTAGACAAAGTTTTACCAATATTTATGACAGTATATATTATTTGAAACTGGACATGTACAGATTAACTGACCACGGTTCACAATCTTCAAGCTGCCAAGGGTCACATCGATAACGAACATCCGAAACCAGTATCTGGTCCGGGTCTGCAGATAACAATAAACTAATCAAATTCACTGTGAACTTCACCCATCAACACCGATGTCTTCAATACGTTTATGAAAATTATCATATAATCCGGTCAAGATAGAGTAGCTTAAGTGCGCAGTTGGCACCGTATCGTCAGTCGAGTTAGGCAATAGGATTTAGATATAGCAACTGAAGTTCACAACAACAACTTTATCGTCAGTGTATCAGTAAATGGGATTATCTATGATAACTGGAATAGGTATAAAACAGGGACAACACACAGTCACAAATCGTTCAGTGACTGCTGTGTAATAAACTCCTTGTTTATTTACTCAGGTAAGAAACTTTACTTTCTTCTACTTTGACATATATACCATTGTTATTCTAGGTTAACTTTAATCTATTGTAAATACCTTAACTATAAGTTACAACCCTGGCAGTACCTTCAGGTTTATGTGGAACGAGGCATCCCTTAGTATGTGTCTCATCTCTTCTGTATTGCAGTTTAGGATTATGTATTTCATACTGATTGACACTACACTGTTTTGTGACGATTATAGAATGTATAGAGTGTGTCGGATATTTTAACTATTGTATTACGTTTTGCATGAATACTATATGCTGTTTGGGACCGTGACAGAATGTAGATTGTATGAATCCCCACTGGGGTGATGTGTAGAGTTCTGAACTATTGTTGTGTACATTGGAATATGTATCGCGATTAATGTAGTATGTGTCGTGTATAACGAATCTACATGTGATGTTTATGTACTTTGATATCTGATTGCATTCTGATCATGTTCTAATAATTAATTGTAAACTATGCTATTATTGACTGATTATGTAAAATCGTTCAGTGACTGCTGTGTTATAAACTCCTTGTTTATTTACTCAGGTGTTGTGTTGTGTGTGGGTAGGTATGGGCAGTGGATGGAGAGGTGCTCTGTTAGGATGCCGTGAAACTTTGGAGACTTGACATTTATGACATGACTTGATGGAATCATGAACGTACTGATACATCCCAGACCAATAGTACTTTAGTTTGAGAGCCCCATACACTCTGTCAGCGCCAAGGTGACCACCACCTGCTTGAGAATCATGGTATGAGAGAAGAGCATCCCTGCGGAGGCTCTTGGGAAGGGCTAACTGACGAATGAGTTTATCAGTTGCTTCCATCTTGCGAGTACGCGGCTGATAAAAATGGTAAAGTACCCCATCTAACATGTCATACTCATGAGCAGTGTTTTGAATCCTTTTCCTCTGGTTCATATCTTGTGGTAAAGAACCATCTTCGAGGAAATTTACAATGCCTTTGAAATCAGCTGCAGGACACTGCCGTTGCATTTCTCCAATATTTTCCCGATCAGGAGAAGAGGGAGTAGGGGTTGTGTCCATAATGGTATCCACAGCATAGATAGATAGGGATGGGGTGTCGTAGAAAAACTGAATTTCGAGAGATTCAGTTTGTGTGTCATGGTTGTCATTGACACCTAGCGTCTGTATAGGAGGGTAGGTTCTCCTAGATAGTGCATCAGCATTGGTGTTCACTTTCCCAGGCCTGTGAACAATGTCATACGTGTACTCTTGCAGTTCAAGAGCCCATCTATGGAGACGGCTGGTGGTGTGCTTGATGCTCTGCAACCAGACTAGGGCCTTATGGTCTGTAATGATTTTGAAGGGTTTACTCGTGAGATAAATGCGGTTGCACTTTACTGCTTCTACCACAGCTAGACACTCCTGTTCACTGACGGTCCAGTTCTTTTCATATGAATTCAGAGATCTTCCCCCATATGCAATTGCTCGTTCCCTACCCTGGTCATCTAACTGGCCTAAAACATAGCCGATTGCTGATCCTGATGCATCTGTAGTGAGGATAAATGGTTTCTGCATATCAGGGTAGGCCAAGACAGGAGCCTGAACAAGATTTTGTTTCATTTGTTCAAATGCAGTTTGGCAAATGTCCGACCAGTGAAATGGGCTATCTTTCTGTAAAAGGGCATTTAGCGGTGCTGCTAGTTTGGAATAACCCTTGAGAAACTTTCTATAGTAATTGCACAATCCAAGAAAGCTGCGAAGGTGATGGATGTTTTTAGGAGGAGGAAAAGTACGAATAGCTTCTGTTTTGGATGGATCAGTTCTTATACCCTTTTTGGAGAGGATGTGGCCAAGGTAGAGAACTTCAGAACGAGCAAAGTTGCATTTATCTGGCTTCAGTTACAGATTGGCTGATCTCAAGCGATCAAAAACTGCTTGTAAATGGGAAAGATGCTCTTGAAAAGTCTTGCTGTAAATCAAAATATCATCAACATATACCAGGACATGTTTCCATGTCAAGCCTTGCAGGGCTCTAGCCATGACCATCTGAAATGTGGAGGGAGCATTGCGTAACCCAAAAGGCATAACACGCCATGTATACAGGCCACTCTGCGTGACAAAGGATGCCTTGTGAGCTGTTTCAGAATCCATAGGAATTTGCCAGAACCCTGCTGCCAAATCAAGCGTGGAAAATATTTGAGCATGGGAATCACCAGTAGCATCAAATGCATCTTCCAGGCGAGGCAAAGGATAGGAAGCCGGAACGGTAATCTTATTCAATGATCTGTAATCTATGGCAAAACGGAACTCACCCGATTTCTTCTTGACTAAGACCACCGGACTCTACCATGGGGACATGGAGGGTTCAATGAACCCAAGGTCAAGAAGTTCCTTTGTCTGTCGATCAGTTTCTGCTTTGCCTTCAGGGCTCTTCCGATAGAACGGCAGATGAACAGATTTGGAGCCAGGTACTGTGTCTATCCCATGTGAATATAGGTTAGTAACACCAAGTTCAGTTTTGTCAGCAGCAAACACATCCCTGTTGGCTTTAAGAAGTCTAGATAAGTCTGATTTCTGAGTATCATTCAGATCTGCCTTACTGAGATCAAAGTTTAGGTTTGAAGGCTTACCTGGAGATGTAGGCAGGGGTCTGTCCTCCAAGGGATGTATGAAGGCAACATCGACAGGGTGGGCAACTGCTATGACCTTGCGGGAGGGTAGGACAACTGGTTCACTAGTTGGGTTCAAAAGGGTAAAACATGCCCTACCCTTTTTTGACTGTACAAGACACTTAGCACCTGCCAATTTGCATGTAGTCAATTGAGGGACTGGTTCGAATAGAAAGGCACATGACTGACCTTTGTGGTTACTCAACCTAACGGGAATGGTGACTTGCATGTTAGGACGTATAGTGACAGATGCACATGTACGTACAAGACCTGACCCGGTGGTTTGGAGAGGGACCATGACTAAACCATGATGTAGGGCAAGAGTATGTGTGGTATAATGTATGATGGCATCATTTTGATTAAGAAAATCTTGCCCTAGGATGATTGAATGTTGCACTGATTTGAGAACTAAAAAGTTGTGGTCGATTGTCATACCACCAATGTAGAGGGAAATCCTAACTGACCCAAGTACTTTAATGTGCTCTCCCCCGACACCTCTAACATTTGAGAGGGTACTGGCCTGCATCAGGGACAGAGGAATACCTGCCCTTTTCAAAGTGGGGAGAGATAGAACTGATAGAGTGGCACCTGTGTCTACTAAGGCATGACAGCGAATATTACTAATCTTTACATATACTGTATTCTTAATCTGGGACTGATGGGACAAACTCGATGATTTCGAGGTACTGGTATGCCTACTGAGAGAAGATATGGACGTTTTTCTACCCCTAGGGGCCCTTAAGGTGTGCCTGCTCATAGGCCAGGGCCTACCAACAGGCGCAAAGCCACATTGCTGATTCAATCGTAGGCAACATACCCTAGCAAAGTGATGTAACCCACTTCAATAGCTACATTGCTGATTGGAGGATGGACATGAAACTCTAGACCTGCAGTCGTTACCACAACCCCGGCAATTACCTGAGATTTGTCTGTAGTTGTTCCGCTGTTGTTGTTGTTGTTGCCGTTGTTGTTGCTGCAGAGGTTGTGCAGAACGACGTGTGTTGACTCTGGGCTGGTGAGACTGATTACGGTTGACATATGTGTTGACATTCTGCCTCTGGGGAACGTGGGCCATCTGTGCAGTCAACTTGTCAAGTTGCTGCTGTTGTGATGCAGCGATGGTGGCCAGTTGATCGTTGTCAACCACAGGAGATGTCACAGATGATATGGATGGGGTGGCATCCTGGGTGGCTTGAAGAGCAGCTTCAGCCAGTCTTACCTGATGTGATAATGTCTCTAGTGATTGTGGATCATGGGGAATGACTAATTCCTTCAAAGGAGGCTGCAAACCATTGATAATGACTTGAACAAGGAGGGTCTCAGGGATCTGGAGGCCAGCTGTCACATGCATCTCGTGCACACGTTCAATGAAGGCAGAACCGGGCTCAGTGTCGTTTTGGCGGGCGGACAGGAAAGCCGTCTGTGAGGAAACGTCGTTGAACCTACGAGTGAAGACGGCTTCGAATTGGGCTTCGGTTGTTGGGGCTGGATGAAGAGAGTCCAGCCAGGTAGCAGCGGATCCGTCCAAGTACAATGGCAGGAGGTTCAAGTAGACGGAATCTGTGAGTGATTGATACTGTCGAAAACAATTCATTTTCTTCAGCCATTGTCGGGCGTTGCCTGTACCGTTGAATTTTGGCACCACATCACTCACGTATGCCATATTGGGAGACAGTGTGTCTTGTCGCACGGCTGAAGGATGACCCCTCAGTGTTTGGGCCCGACGCAATCCTGTCCTCGTTGATAGTGACTGGAGGATTAACGCTGTCTGTGTTTGGGCCCGAAGCTATGGTTGTAATGTCCTGCAGTGGTTCGCCAAGGTCGCTGTATTCGTCGGCGGGGATTGGAGGTCGATGTCCGGCTCCTAGTGTTGTAGTTTGTGGGTTGGTATGTAGCCATAGGTCGATTTTTGATTCTCCGCCACCTATTAAAACGCGAGTTTTGGGGAATCAGCTCGCTTGGCAAGAGGTCTGCCCATACCAACCCACACACAACACAACACCTGAGTAAATAATCAAGGAGTATATTACACAGCAGTCACTGAACGATTTTACATAATCAGTCAATAATAGCATAGTTTACAAAATTAATTATTATAACATGATCAGAATGCAATCAGATATCAAAGTACATAAACATCACATGTAGATTCGTTATACACGACACATACTACAT